TAACGCGAGTAGTCGTCAACCACCAGCAGGAAGTAGCGCTCGTGACCCTGTCCACGGACGCGGGCTGGGCTCCACACGTCCATGTGAAGCGTCTGCAGCGGGGCCTCTGTCGGAGGAAACTGGGAGGAGTGAGGGGCAGCCAGCTGCCGCCCCTCAACACAGGTTACGCAGGTAGGGCCAGGCCCCGGAGGAAGGGGAGGGAGGGACCGGGGAAGACCAGAGACAAGGACTCGGGAGGCCATGCTTCCGAGACAAAGCAGGGAGGGGTGACCAAGGCGGTGGTGCCAGAGGAGAGTCTCGTGAGACAGGAGGCGACACGAGCAGGGGGCTGACTCAGGACCAGACCTGGACGCTGCAGCTAACACCTGACCCGACGCAGCTACCTGACAAGACGCAGTGACAGGAGGAGACGTAGTGGTTAGTATGTACAGGCTCGACCCCGGCGGACGTGTAAACGTGGCCAAGTGTCGGCCTGTCCGAGCATCCGTGCAGTGGGTCACCCGCTGACTCGCAGGAGTGAACTGGTCAACCCCCGCATCCTGTAGGTCAGCACCACTCACCAAGTTTGTAGAGAACGAGGGGAGGTAAAGACCAGACATGGTGCCAGAGGGGGCCGCCGGACACGTGAGGACAGTGGAGAAGTGAGCAAGGACAGGACCCCCACAGAGGTCTGCCAAGGAGACTGCAACTAGCCGACCAAGCGGCGTGAGTGTGGTGCGGTCTCGAAAGAAGGAGCGAGAAGCCCCCGAGTCAAGTGTGAAGGTGTGGGAGGCCGAAGCCGACGCAGTATCTGAGAGCGGGGACTCACCAGTACCGGAGGAAGCAGACGCACTAGCACCTAGAGCAGCAGCCTCGCTAGCACCAAGAGCAGCAGCCTCACCAGCACCTAGAGCAGCAGTCTCAATGCCCGGGTCGGGCGGGAAACACCGGTAACAGTCACCCTCATCACTATTAGACACAGTATACATAGCAGCAAGAATAGCATCAAAGTCAAGGTCGAAGATAGCCACCCCTGCCCTAGACAGCTCGTCCCAGCGAGGGATCTCAGTGGCCTCAGGGAACTGGTGACGCCAAGCGTCCTTCAGATGGCCAAAGCAGCGCTGGGTGGGGTGCACACCCCCACACTGCTCACCCGCACGGTCGCCAGTGCGCATGACGTAGGTGCACGGACGATTACCCCCACCCTGCTGGCGTGCAGAGTACCACTCACGGATCTGCTGAGGGGACAGGGTCTCCCGACTGCGCTGCTGCTGCTGGCGCTGACCACCACCGGAGCCACTCCTCTGCGAAGAGCCACGACCTCCTCCTCCTCCTCCTCCTCCGCCACCGCCTCCTCCACCTCCGCCACCTCCACCACCTCCGCTCCCACCGCCACCGCCGCCGCCGCCTCCGCCTCCACAGTCGACTCCGACACCTCCACCCCCGCCACCACTCCCACCACCGCCCCCACCCCCTCCACTGCCTCCACCGCCGCCTCCACCGCCCCTGCTAGCTCCTCCAGCGCCCCTGCCCCACTTGCCCTTGCCAGAGCGACGCTTCCCACTAGGGGTAGATGCCGCACCGACTGACTCCAGACCAACGAGGTCGGCCGCAGCAGCAAGAGGCAACAGAGGGCAAAAGAGGGGAGGGGGAACACCCCTCAAAGATGGGGGTGCGAGGGTCACCACGAGAGGCTCCTACAGCGACTATGCTCTTTTCTGCTGCTAGGAGGGCCTTGTCGAGTAGGTCAACGGTGAGAGTGGTGGGGCAAACTGAGAGGAAGTGGTCCCTGAGTACGTGAAGGGAGTCAGGGAGACGGGTGACTATGTAGTTGAGGGTGATGTACATGGGGGGGGGGAGGGGTTCTTGGCGCAGAACTCAGCAGGAAGCGCAGCGCGGTAGCGAGTGTCACTAGTGTGGAGGTGCGTAATGAGGTCAGCGACTGTGGGAAAGGCAGCAAGTCAGAGAAGAGGTACGGTAGCATGAGGCGGCTTAGTGCAGCAGTGGCAGGGGAGGAGTAGCGTGCAACTACAGCGTCGTACAAGGTCTGAGCACTCTTGTACTGGCTAAAGTGCGCACGCTCAGAGGTAGGCAGGTGGCGACGCACAGCAAGACGTGCAGCAGCATCGCGCGTGGCCCACTGTGAGCGAACAGTGGCGTCAGCATCAGCAGCGGGGGCAAGAGAGGCACCAGAAGTGAGGTCAAAGAGGGAGAGGCCGTCTGCCCTATCGCACTGTAAGAAAAGCTGCAGGTCGTCGACCCACACGTCAAAGTCAATGGCCCTACCCTCAGCGTCAAAAGCTAGGACACTAGGGGTAGCCATGACAGCAGTAGACTAGCAGTACGAAGAGTAGGGTAAGGGCAATGCAGGGGCAGAGGTGCTGCTCTTACCGGACAGGGCGGCTCGGCGGCTCGGCTGTAGGCGGCTCGGTGGCTCGGCGGCAGGGCGGCTCGGCGGCTCGGCGGCTCGGCTGCTGGGCGGCTTGGCGGCTCGGCTGCTGGGCTGCTGGGCGGCTTGGGGGCTCGGGTGCTGGGCGGTTTGGCGGCTCGGCTGCTCGGCTGCTTGGCTGCTGGGCGGCTCGGCGGTTTCTCTGATGGGCGGCTCGGCGGCTCTGCTGCTGGGCGGTTCGGCGGCTCTGCTGCTGGGCGGCTCGGCGGCTCGGCTGCTCGGTTGCTGGGCGGCTTGGCGGACCGGCGGCTCGGTTGCTGGGTGGCTTGGCGGCTGCGGCTCCTGATGAGGGACGGCGGTGGGGCCGGTAGGAGGCGGCGTCGGAGCCGGGAAGGGCGGCACCGCGGCCGTAGGAGCAGGCGCCGGGGCCGTAGGAGAAGGCCCCGGGGCCGTAGGAGCAGGGGCCGGGGCCGTAGGAGCAGGCGCCGGGGCCGTAGGAGCAGGCGCCGGGGCCGTAGGAGCAGGCGCCGGGGCCGTAGGAGCAGGCGCCGGGGCCAGCCAAGGTGGCGACGGGGCCGGGAAGGGCGGCATCGATGCCGCTAGGGCGGCTCACGGTGGGCCGACGAGCGGCTCGAAGGGCCGCAAGGGCGGCAAGCGGGGCCGACAAGCGGCGCAAGAGGCCGCTAGGGCGGCACGCGGGGTCGGTGGGGCCGCTGTAAGAGGCGGCGACGGGCCGCAAGGGGGAGGCGGCGATGGGCCGCAAGGGGGAGGCGGCGACGCCGCTGAAGGAGGCAGCGACGAGCCGCAGAGGGCGGTACGACGGGGCCGCGAAGGAGGCGGCGCGACTGGGCCGCAGAAAGGGGCGGCGCGACGGGCCACTAAGGGCGGCGCGACGGGCCGTAAGGGCGGCGCGACGGGCCGTGAGAGGGCCGCTAAAGGCGACGCGACGGGGCCGTGCGGAGCCTAGCGAGGGCGCGGCGGTAAGGAGAGCACACGGAGCGCGACTCGTGCTGAGTGGAGCGCGCTCCGGGCAGGAAAAAAAATTCGTAGTGGTGGGCCCTAGGAATCGTTCTCGTTAGGGAACCTGCTCGATACCATGAGAAGAATCAAGGAATGAATGAACTATGAATGAATTGGGTACAAGTACTAACCCTAATTGGGTTGTACCCCTTATGGGCTACCCCACTATAGCCTACACAATATGCATAAGCAATAATGTTCTGACAATGTGACGCTGTTACCAAAAAATCACTTAGTTCCTACTGCTGATGATTCTACAATTACTGAACCAACTCTTCTCGGGGTCACCTCCGAGGGTCCTTGGGTGCCTGACTAAAGTCAGCCCCTATCCAATGGTCCGAGTTTGTAGAAAGAGCAATTCAGTAGAGTAGAGTTTCAACAGCGGAAGCCCTTGTCACGTCGTAGGCAGAGAGTCCGTCGAACGTCAAATATGATAGTAGCGTGTGAGAGTAAATATGTGGCAGAGTGTTGTATTAATATGCAAGACATACATTTATATATTCTCTAGGCTGTTTCTACTGCTATCTGTCTAACATCTCCGCGCACTACCTATCACAAGCGAGGCGCGAGCAATTGTCGCGTTTCCCTCATTTTATTTTGTGACTTAGCTAGGTTGCGATTCGCCGGCGAATGTTTTAGCTGTTCGCGCGGAATTTATTAACGGCTTCGATCCGTTGTGATTTTCGCGTCGTTTTGATAACGGCTCCGATCGATCCGTTTGTTTATTTGAGTCAGCTTCGCTGTTTTGAACATGCGTGCTAATTTGGGCCAATCTCCTCGCTTGAATTCTCGTGGCGTGAGCAGTTTCACCACGTGCTTTGATCGCTCGAGCTGTCAGCACTTTCTTGGGCTGACGTGTTCTAGATGGCAAAAGTGTAGCTCTCGAAATGTCGGCGCGCATGTAGCTGCCCTCTGCTTCAGCCGCGTCAGCTTGTTCAAAGCTTGTTTCGAACTTTTTTGAACACTGTTCTGAACATGTTCGGAACCGGTTCTGAGCATGTTCGAAACCTGCTCTGAACATGTTCGTAATCTGTTCTGAACATGTTCGGAACCAGTTCGGCTGCGTGTTCAGAACGACAAACTTTGCTGCGCGAACTTTATCCAATCAGCGCACTCGAAACCTGTCGCTTTGAGCACCAACGAACTCGCAGCGCGAACGGGAATTCCATGCTGTCCTTTGCTCGAACCAAACCGAACCGACGCCTCCCGTTTGTTGAAGCTAAATCCCCTTGAACACTCGATCATGAACGATTCGCCCTTAAGCTTTTCGCCTCAAATGAATTGTGCACTCCCAGGAGATTAACCTGTGAAAGAGCGAGGAATGAATGAACTAGGAAACAGGTGGGTACAAGTGTTGTACCCCATATTGTCTACCCCTCTACAGCCTACACAGACTATATCATATGAGTTTGACACACCCCGATAGGCAAAGTGGGGGAGAACAAGAGGTCACTTGACCAGTCAAGCAAAGCAAAGCAAGCTCAGGGTGGACCACAACGTCACCACACATTCCGAGCACAAGTTCAAGGCCACAAGGCCAGTTCACATGCAAGATCATAAATAAAGGTAGACAAGGAAGTGCAGGTATAGAAAGATCACTGTACAAGCAAGGTCAAGAAGTGAGCAAGTGAGGCCAAGTAGGCACAAGACCTAGCATCGTACAGAAGCACTGATGATCACATGGCGGAAGTGCCTTGGTAAAGATATCAGCAGTGTTGGCCTCAGAGGCCACGTAAGCAAGGCGCAGCAGACCACGCTGCTGCAGCTCACGAGCAAGGAAGTAGCGAAGAGCAATGTGCTTCGTTCTATGCTCTAGTCTGTGCTCCCGACACAAGGCCAGCATGGCCTTGCTGTCTACGTACAGAACTGGAGGAGAACAAGGCGTCTCTCCTAGGTCAGTCAGCAGGTAGGTGAGCCAGCGTAGCTCCTGTGCAGCCATGGACCCCGCGTAGATCTCAGCCTCACAGATGGAGCCAAGAACAGAAGACGAGCGATAGACCGCCATGAAACAGAGCCGGAACCAAGGCTGAAGGTGTAACCCTGTGACGACCGCTGCGTAGCCTGGTCGTCAGCCCAAGAAGCGTCTGCGTGACTTGTGAGCACCACTGAACGTTGCCCTCCAAGCACTATTCCCATGCCCGACGAACTGCACAAGTAGCGCAACACCCTCTTCGCTGCAGCCATGTGCTCTGGTCGGTGTCTCCCAGGAGCAACATAGCGTGCCAAGATGCTAAGAGGGTATGCAAGGTCAGGTCGTGTGCAGGTCATCAGGTACATGAGGCAGCCAACAAGCTCTGGGTACGGGCCACTCGGCTCTATGGACTCATCCGAAGGCAGAGCTGAGAGCGAGTGGCGAGTAGACAGAGGAGTGGCCTGAGGCGAGGAGTACGTGAAGTCGAAGCGCAGAAGGACCTGATGCACCATGTGTGACTCAGTCAGGGTAATGGTGCGCTGTGCTCTTTCCCGGGTGATCTGCAAGCCAAGGTAGCTGCGCAGTTCACCCAGGTCTATGCACGTGTGTCTCTTCTGCAGCTCGGACTTTACGTGGGCGAGTCCAGCAGTGTAAGTAGTGGCAAAGACCAAGTCGTCGACGTACACGAGGATGTAGAACGGCGGCAAAGAGGTGTCGGTGCGCAGAAACAGCGACGGGTCGGCAGTAGAAGGAGCAAACCAAAGAGCCGCCAGTGTAGTCCTCAGTGTGTCATGCCACTCACGGGGTGCCTGGCGGAGACCGTAGACTGGCCGCCGGAGGCTCCACTGTGTACCAGGAGGAAATGACCCAGTGAAGCCAGGTGGGCGGCGCAGCCAGGTCTCCTCGTGCAGGCTGCCCTGCAGGAAAGCTGTGCTGAAACAAGAGATTGAAGCTCGTATTCGCCCTGAGCGGCTGTGTGCAGCAGCACCCGAAGAGTGGTCATCTTCGAGGTGGGAGAGAAGGTCTGAAAGTAGTCAACTCCCTGCCGCTGAGTGAAGCCTCGAGCCACGTAACGTGCCTTGAAGACAAGCGGAGAACCCGGCGGCCGCTTCACCCTGAAAATCCACACGCCACTGACGATGTTCGCCCCAAGTGGGGGAACCTCATCGACATAGGTGCCTGTGGACTTCCACGTTGCCATCTCTGCGTCCATGGCTGACTGCCACCGTGAGGATTAGGGACCCTCGATCGCCTCAGCGTACGATCGAGGAGTCGGGATGTCTGGTGCATCCGGGTCTCCCTCAGGGGCAATCAGCGTGGACACGAGATGAGGCAAAGCAGCAGCAAAACACTGGAACTCCTCCTGCCTGTCCTCAAGGACGTCCGTGCTAAGAGCACACTCACCCCCGACGGACGGAGGACAGACAGACTCAGACTCAGCAACAAGACTAGCAGCTTAGTCGAGACGACAGCGAGCAGCAAAGTGGACAAGCTCAGCAACCAAGGCAGACGCAGCTGTGGACTCAAAGGAAGGGTCAGTGACAACAGTAGCTAGGAGACGCGTGACAGTAGGACTGGCAGCACGAAGAGAGTCAGACTCCGGGTCAGCAAGAATAGGAAGAGAGGACTCTGGAGGAGACGGCAACGGGACACGCAGGGGAGCAGTGGAAGGACGTAGTGCCATCTGGTGTGTGCCTAGGACTGCAGGAGGACACGGACGCGGAGCACGACTACTAGTGCGAGCAGCACGAACAGTCAACGCAGGACGAGACGCAGGCTCACGAGGCTCAGCAAGACCTCCAGTAGGACCAATGTAGGGAGAAGGAGCAAGTAGGGGGGAGGTGGGCTGTAACTGTGACTCGGACTGGACAGGCTGTGGACACTTTAAGGGAGGAGCAGGACCAGTACAGGGCGGGAGACCAATAACCTGCTCAAGGAGGAGAGCGAAGTACGGCCGCTGCCGCGCAGCGCCTCCAGAACCAGCAGGGACAGCACCAGTACCCCCAGCGGCAGCACCAGCGCCAGCATCACCTCCAGCTCCAACAGCGCCAACTCCAGAACCCTCAGAAGCACCACCGCCAGCAGCACCACCAGCGCCAACACCCCCAGCAGCTCCAGCTCTAGCAGCTCGAGCAGCTCGAGCAGCACCAACTCCAGCAGGACCGTTAGCTCCAGTACCGCCAGCAGCTCCAGCAGTACCTCCAGCAGGACCAACTCCAGCAGCCCCAGCAGCACCCCAAGTCCCTGCAGCTTTAGTACCGCCAGTACGAGCACCTCCAGGACCAGTGGCTCCAGTAACTCCAGTGCCGACCCCAGGGTCAGCAGTAACAGCAGCACCTCCAGCTCCAGTAGCACGGCTCCAGCGCCGGGCAAACCACTCGCGCAGCTCCTGTGGAGAGGGTAGCTCCCGCCTCGACGAAGCAGCCAAAGGGGCCCCAAACCGAGCACCACCAGAGGCCACACGAGCAGACCCAGCACCCCCAGGCGTCGCACCCCCAGGCTCAGCACCCCTAGGCTCCATACCCCCAGGCTCCGCACCCCCAGGCCAAGCACCCCCAAGCTCCGCACCCCCAGGCTCCGCACCCCCAGACTCAACACCCCCAGGCTCAGCACCCCTAGCAGCACCAGAGTCAACAGCTACATCAACAGGCTTGACTGTGTCTACCTGGGACACACCTAACGGGGCAGGACCCTGAGGGGGGAGTGGGTCTACCGGGGGGGGGACCTGGCGCAAGGAATAGCGGGGTCGGGGGGAGGGGCGTAGTGCGGTAGGGGAAGAGACGGTAGTAAGGCACCGACTCGTCAAAGGTGACGTCCTGGGAGGACAGAACACGGCGCGAGGTGGGGTGGTAAAACTGCCAACCAGGCGCGTCAGGGGGGAAGCCAAGGAAGACGCAGGGAACAGCACGAGGGGACAGCTTGTCCGCAGACAAGTCGCGGACAAACGCCCGAGATCCCCACACACGAAACGCAGAGGCATCGCCAACCTTCCCCGTCCACCGCAAGGTGGGGGAGGTTTCTGGCAAGGAGACCCGGGGCTGAAGGTTGAACTGATGCGCTGCGTACTGAACCGCAAACGGCCACAGAAAATAGGGAGCAGCCGCATGGATCATGGACGTACGGGAGACGTCCATGACCATGCCAATGCGGCGCTCAGCAATCCCATTTTGCTATGGAGAGGCCGGAAGCGTGAAGGTCTGGCAGATGCCCTGTGCACGACAGAAGGCTCCCAGAAGGGCAGAGGAAAACTCCCCGCCTCTGTCAGAGTGCGGACGCCAAACAGGAAAGTCCGAGCCGAAACTCTCTCTGAGCTGGAGACGAGCTGCGCAGATCCAGTCGATCAGCACCTCAGTGACGTCACCCTTGCTGCGCAAGGGGAACACCATGGTGTAACGCGAGTAGTCGTCAACCACCAACAGGAAGTAACGCTCGTGACCCTGGCCACGGACGCGGGCGGGGCCCCAGACGTCCATATAAAGAGTCTGAAGCGGAGCCTTTGTTGAAGGAAACTCGGAGGAGTGAGGGGCGGCGCGCAGCCGCCCCTCGACGCAGGGAACGCAGGTAAGGGCAGGCCCCGGAGAGAGGGGAGGGAGGGACCGGGGGAGACCAGAGACAAGGTAACGGGAGGCCATGCCTTGGAGACGAGGCAGGGAGGGGTGACCAAGGCGGTGGTGCCAGATGAGAGTCTGGTAGGACAGGAGACGACACAAGCAGGGAGCAGACTCAGGACCAAACCTGGACGCTGCAGCAAACACCTGACCCGACGCAGCTACCTGACCAGACTCAGCAACAGGAGGAGACTCAGTAGTCACTGTGTATAGGCTCGACCCCGGCTGACGGGTAAACGTGGCCAAGTGTCGGCCCGTCCGAGCACACGTACAGTGGGTCACCCGCTGACTCGCAGGAGTGGACTGGTCAACCCCCCCATCCTGTAGATCAGCACCACTCACCAAATTCGTAGAGAACGAGGGGACGTAGAGACCTGACAGGGTGCCAGAGGGGGCCGCCGGACACGGTAAGACAGTGGAGAAGTGGGCAAGGAGAGGACCCCCAAAGGGGTCCACCAGGGAGACCGCAACTGGCGGACTAAGCGCCGTGAGTGTGGTGCGGTCTCGAAAGAAGGAGCGAGAAGCACCCGAGTCAAGGGTGAAGGTGTGTAAGGCCTGAGCCGATGTAGTACCTGAGAGAGCTATCTTTGACCTTGACTTTGATGCTATTCTTGCTGCCATGTATGCTGTGACTACTAGTGATGAGGGTGACTGTTACCGGTGTTTCCCGCCCGACCCGGGCATTGAGACTGCTGCTCTAGGTACTGGTGAGGCTGCTGCTCTAGGTGCTAGCGAGGCTGCTACTCTAGGTACTAGTGCGTCTGCTCCCTCAGGTGCTGGTGAGTCTGCGCTCTCAGGTACCGAGTCGGCTTCGGCAACCCTCACCTTCACCCTTGACTCGGGGGCTTCTCGCTCCTTCTTTCGAGACCGCACCACACTCACGCCGCTTGGTCGGCCAGTTGCAGTCTCTCTAGTAGACCCCTCTATGGGTCCTATCCTTGCTCACTTCCTCACTATCCTCCCGTGTCCGGCGGCTCCCTCTGGCACCCTGTCTAGTCTTTACCTCCCCTCGTTCTCTACGAACTTGGTAAGTGGTGCTGACCTACAGGATGAGGGAGTTCACCAGTTCACTCCTGCGAGCCAGCGGGTGACCCACGCTTGGACGGGCCGACACTTGGCCACGTTTATTTGTCGGCCGGGGTCGAGCCTGTACACACTGACCTCTGCGTCTCCTCCTGTCCCTGCGTCTGGTCAGGTAGCTGCGTCGGGTCAAGTTGTTCCTGCAGCGTCCAGGTCTGGTCCTGAGTCAGCCCCCTGCTCGTGTCGCCTCCTGTCTCACGAGACTCTCCTCTGGCACCACCGCCTTGGTCACCCCTCCCTGCTTCATCTCTGAGGCATGGCCTCCTGTGTCCTTGTCTCTGGTCTTCCCCGGTCCCTCCCTCCCCTTCCTTCGGGGCCTGGCCCTACCTGCGTCCCCTGTGTTGAGGGACGGCAGCGGGCTGCCCCTCACTCCTCCCAGTTTCCTCCGACAGAGGCCCCGCTGCAGACGCTTCACATGGACGTGTGGGGCCCCGCCCGCGTCCGTGGACTGGGTCACGAGCGCTACTTCCTGCTGGTGGTTGACGACTACTCGCGTTACACCACAGTCTTCCCCTAGCGCAGCAAGGGTGATGTCACTAAGGTGTTGATCGACTGGATCCGCGCAGCTCGTCTCCAGCTCAGGCAGAGCTTCGGCTCGGACTTTCCTGTTCTGCGTCTGCACTCTGACAGAGGCGGAGAGTTCTCCTCTGGCCTTCTGCGAGCCTACTGTCCTACACGAGGCATCCGCCAGACCTTCACGCTTCCGGACTCTCCACAGCAAAATGGGATTGCTGAGCACCGCATTGGCATGGTCATGGACGTCGCTCGTACGTCCATGATGCATGCGGCTGCCCCCCATTTTCTGTGGCCGTTTGTGGTTCGGTACGCGGCGCATCAGATCAACCTTCACCCCAGGGTCTCCATGCCAGAGACCTCCCCAGCCTTGCTGTGGACGGGGAAGGTCAGCGATGCGTCCGCGTTCCGTGTCTGGGGATCTCGGGCGTTTGTCCGCGACTTGTCTGCAGACAAGCTGTCCCCTTGTGTGGCTCTTTACGTCTTCCTTGGCTTCCCCCCTGATGCACCAGGGTGGCAGTTTTACCACCCCACCTTACGCCGTGTTCTGTCCTCCCAGGACGTCACGTTTGACGAGTCGGTCCCCTACTACCGTCTCTTCCCCTACCGCACTCCGTCCCTCACTCCACCGCCGCTCTTCCTCGTACCAGGTCCCCCCCCGGCAGACCCCCTCCCCCCTCAGGGTCCGGCCCCTTCAGATGTGTCCCACGTAGACGCAGTCGAGCCTAACGAGGTCACTGGTGACTCTGGTGCTGCTGAGGGTGCTGACTCTGGGGGTGCTGAGCGTGTGGGTGCTGAGACTGGGGGTGCGGAGACTGGGGGTGCTGAGACTGGGGGTGCTGAGACTGGGGGTGCTGAGAGTGGGGGTGCTGAGCCTGGGGGTGCTGAGCCCGGGGATGCTACGCCTTGGGGTGCTGAGCCTGGGGGTGCTACGTCTGGAGGTGCTGAGCCTAAGGGTGTGGAGCCTGAGGGGGCTGGGCCTACTCGTGTGGCGTCTGGCGGTGCTAGGCATGGAGGTTCTCCGGGTGCTTCGTCTCGGCGGGAGCCACTCTCTCCACAGGAGCTGCGCGAGTGGTTTGCCCGCCACTGGAGGCGTGCTGCTGGAGCTGGAGGGTCTTCGGCTGCTGAGGGTGCTGGTGCAGCGGGTCCCGGAGGTGCTCGTACTAGAGGTACTGGACCTGCTGGGTCGGCGGGTGCGCCTGGAGCTGGAGCTGCTGAGGGTGTTGGTGCTGAGGCTACTACTATCGCTCCTAGAGGCGGTGCTACTGTAGGTGCTACTGGTGCTGCTGGAGGTACTGGAGCTGGATGTGCTACTGGCACTAGTGCTGCCGCTGGGGGTGCTGGTGCTGTTCATGCTGTGTCTGGAGTCGCTGAGCGGCCTCGGCCGTACTTCGTTCAGCTTCTTCAGCAGGTTCTTGGTCTCCCGCCTTCTACTGGTCCTCCTCCTCCCTTAGAGTGTCCACAGCCTGTCCCGTCAAAGTTACAATTACCGCCGGCCTCCCCACTGCCTGCTCCCTCTCCCTACACTGGTCCTACTAGAGATCTTGCTGAGCGTTGTGAGCCTGCGTCTCGACCTACGTCGCCTGTCCGTCCTGCTCGCACTAGTGGTCGTAGTTCGCGTCAGCGTCCTCCTCCTGTCCCTGGCACGCACCGGATGTCTCTGCGTCCGTCAACTGCTCCTCTGCGTGCCCCTTTGCCTTCTCCTCCTGAGTCCTCTCTTCCTGCTCTTTCCGACCCGCAGTCGGACTCTCTTCGTGCTGCCAGTCCTACTGTCACGCGTCTCCTTGCTACTGTCGTCACTGACCCTTCTCTTGAATCCACTACTGCGTCAGCCCTCGTTGTTGAGCTCGTCAACTTTGCTGCTCGCTGTCGTCCAGACTACGCTGCTAGTCTTGTCGCTGAGTCTGAGTCTGTCTGTCCTCCGTCCGTCGGGGGTGAGTGTGCCCTTGGCACGGACGTCCTTGAGGAGAGGCAGGAGGAGTTCCAGTGTCTAGCTGCTGCTTCACCTCATCTCGTGTCCGTACTGCTTACCCCTGAGGGAGACCCGGATGCACTTGACATCCCGACTCCGCGTTCTTACGCGGAGGCGATAGAGGGTCCCCACTCCTCTCAGTGGCAGGCAGCTATGGATGCAGAGATGGCTTTCTGTAAGTCCACAGGCACCTACGTTGACGATGTTCCCCCTTATGGGGCGAACAACGTCAGTGGCATGTGGATTTTCAGGGTGAAGCGGCCGCCGGGTTCTCCGCGTGTCTTCAAGGCGCGGTACGTGGCTCGTGGCTTCAGTCAGCGGCAAGGAGTTGACTACTTTCAGACCTTCTCTCCCACCCCGAAGATGACCACTCTTCGGCTGCTGCTGCACATAGCCGCTCAGCGCGACTACGAGCTTCACTCTCTTGACTTCAGCACTGGTTTCTTGCAGGGTAGCCTGCACGAGGAGATCTGGCTGCGCCGCCCACTTGGCTTCACTGGGACTTTTCCTCCTGGCACCCAGTGGAGCCTCCGGCGGCCAGTCTACGGTCTCCGCCAGGCACCGCGTGAGTGGCACGACACATTGAGGACTACGCTTGCGGCTCTTGGGTTTGCTCCCTCTACTGCCGACCCGTCGCTGTTTCTGCGCACCGACACTTCTTTGCCGCCGTTCTACATCCTCGTGTACGTCGACGACTTGGCCTTTGCCACTGCTGACACTGCTGGACTCGCCCACGTGAAGTCCGAGCTGCAGAAGAGACACACGTGCACAGACCTGGGTGAACTGCGCAGCTACCTTGGCTTGCAGATCACCCGGGACAGAGCACGCCGCACCATTACCCTGACTCAGTCACACATGGTGCAGCAGGTCCTTCTGCGCTTCAGCTTCATGTACTCCTCGCCTTTGGCCACTCCTCTGCCTACTCGCCACTCGCTCTCAGCTCTGCCTTCGGATGAGTCCGTAGAGTCGAGTGGCCCGTACCCAGAGCTTGTTGGCTGCCTCATGTACCTGATGACCTACACTCGACCTGACCTTGCATACCCTCTTAGCATTCTCGCACACTATGTTGCTCCTGGGAGACACCGACCGGAGCACATGGCTGCAGCGAAGAGGGTGTTGCGCTACTTGTGCAATACGTCAGGCATGGGCCTTGTGCTTGGAGGGCAGAGTCCAGTGGTCCTCACTGGGCACGCAGACGCTTCTTGGGCTGATGACCAGGCTACGCAGCGGTCGTCACAGTGTTACACCTTCAGCCTTGGTTCCGGCTCTGTTTCGTGGCGCGCTACCCGCTCGTCTTCTGTTCTCAGCTCCAGTTGTGAGGCTGAGATCTACGCCGAGGCCATGGCTGCACAGGAGCTTCGCTGGCTCACCTACCTGCTGACTGACCTCGGAGAGCCGCCTCGTTCTCCTCCAGTGCTGTACGTAGACAATAAGGCCATGCTGGCCTTGTGTCGAGAGCAGAGACTTGAGCAGAGAACGAAGCACATTGCTCTTCGCTACTTCCTTGCTCATGAGCTGCATGTCAAAATATGGTTACATATTTTTTATGATCGTTTGCAGTTGTAGTGTACATATTGCATCATGTTTGGTGGTGCACCTCCTTGTGTTGCTGTTTACCTATTTGTACTTGCCATTCTCATTAGTGAAACCCCATTCCTCTCGACTTTCCTAAACTCACTAGAACTCAATTTCTCCTACCTCACTAGCTATGGCTCCTAAGCCTTCCTAGCCTATTGACACTGCAGCAGCGTGGTCAGCTGCGTCTTGCATACGTGGCCTCTGAGGCCAACACTGCTGATATCTTCACCAAGCCGCTTGCGCCTTGTGATCATCGGCGCTTCTGTACTCAGCTGGGTCTTGTGCCTGCTTTGCCTGACTTGCTCACTTCTTGACCTTGCTTGTACTGTTACATATATGTATACACCTGCTCTTGCTTGTCTAGCCTTTTATATGTATATGTACTCCTGCATGTGAACTGGCCTTGTGGCCTTGACCTTGTGCTCGGAATGTGTGGTGACTTTGTGATCCACCCTGAGCTTGCTTTGCTTTGCTTTGCTTGTCTGGTCTTGTGACCCCTTGTACTCCCCCACTTTGCCTATGGGGGTGTGTCAGAACATTATAGCTTATGCTTTTGTGTAGGCTGTAGTGGGGTAGCCCATATGTGTGAGAATTGAAACGAGAATGAATGCACTAAGGAATGGAATGTGGTACAAATATGCAACCCTAGAAATGTGTACCCTATATAGGCTACCCCACTACAACCTACAGAACATTATGATTTAACACACCCCCATAGGCAAAGTGGGGGAGAACAAGGGGTCACAAGACCAGTCAAGCAAAACAAAGCAAAGCTCAGGGTGGATCACAAAGTCACCACACATTCCGAGCACAAGTTCAAGGCCAGAAGGCCAGTTCACATGCAGGAGTACACATATATATATACAAAAGGCTAAACAAGCAAGTGCAGGAGTATATAAATGTGACAGTACAAGCAAGGTCAAGAAGTGAGCAAGTGAGGCAAGGCAAGCACAAGACCAAGCTGACTACAGAAGCGCTGATGATCACAAGGCGCAAGTGCCTTAGTGAAGATATCAGCAGTGTTGGCCTCAAAGGCCACGTACGCAAGTCGCAACTGACCACGCTGCTGCAGCTCATGAGCAAGAAAGTAGCGGAGAGCAATGTGCTTCGTTCTATGCTCCAGGCGCTACTCCCGACACAAGGCCAGCATGGCCTTGTTGTCTACGTACAGCACTGGAGGAGAACGAGGCGGCTCTCCGAGGTCAGTCAATAGGTAGGTGAGCCAGCGAAGCTCCTGAGCAGCCATGGCTCCTGCGTAGATCTCAGCCTCACAACTGGAGCCGAGAACGGAAGACGAGCGAGTAGCCCTCCACGAAACAGAGCCGGAACCAAGGCAAAAGGTGTAACCCTGTGACGACCGCTGTGTAGCCTGGTCGTCAGCCCAAGAAGCGTCTGCGTGCCCAGTGAGGACCACTGGACTCCGCCCTCCAAGCACTAGCCCCATGCCCGACGTACTGCACAAGTAGCGCAACACCCTCTTCGCTGCAGCCATGTGCTCCGGTCTGTGTCTCCCAGGAGCAACATAGCGTGCAAGAATGCTAAGAGGGTATGCAAGGTCATGTCGTGTGCAGGTCATCAGGTACATGAGGCAGCCAACAAGCTCTGGGTACGGGCCACTCGACTCTACGGACTCATCCGAAGGCAGAGCTGAGAGCGAGTGGCGAGTAGGCAGAGGAGTGGCTTGAGGCGAGGAGTACGTGAAGCCGAAGCGCTAAAGGACCTGCTGCACCATGTGTGACTGAGTCAGGGTAATGGTGCGGCGTGCTCTGTCCCGGGTGATCTGCAAGCCAAGGTAGCTGCGCAGTTCACCCAGGTCTGTGCACGTGTGTCTCTTCTGCACCTCAGACTTCACGTGGGCGAGTCCAGCAGTGTCAGCAGTGGCAAAGACCAAGTCGTCAACGTATACGAGGATGTAGAACGGCGGCAAAGAGGTGTCGGTGCGCAGAAACAGCGACGGGTCGGCAGTAGAGGGAGCAAACCCAAGAGCCGCAAGCGTAGTCCTCAGTGTGTCGTGCCACTCACGCGGTGCCTGGCGGAGACCGTAGACTGGCCGCCAGAGGCTCCAGTGAGTGCCAGGAGGAAAAGTCCCAGTGAAGCCAAGTGGGCGGCGCAGCCAGATCTCCTCGTGCAGGCTACCCTGCAAGAAAGCAGTGCTGAAGTCAAGAGAGTGAAGCTCGTAGTCGCGCTGAGCGGCTATGTGCAGCAGCAGCCGAAGAGTGGTCATCTTCGGGGTGGGAGAGAAGGTCTGAAAGTAGTCAACTCCCTGCCGCTGACTGAAGCCACGAGCCACGTACCGCGCCTTGAAGACAGGTGGAGAGCCCGGCGGCCGCTTCACCCTGAAGATCCACATGCCACTGACGATGTTCGCCCCAGGTGGGGGAACCGCATCAACGTAGGTGCGTGTGGACTTCCAGGAAGCCATCTCTGCATCCATAGCTGCCTGCCACTGAGAGGAGTAGGGACCCTCTACGGCCTCCGCGTAAGAGCGCGGAGTCGGGATGTCAAGTGCATCCGGGTCTCCCTCAGGGGTAAGCAGTACGGACACGAGATGAGGTGAAGCAGCAGCCAGACACTGGAACTCCTCCTGCCTGTCCTCAAGGACGTCCGTGCCAAGGGCACACTCACCCCCGACGGACGGAGGACAGACAAACTCAGACTCAGCGACAAGACTAGCAGCGTAGTCTAGACGACAGCGAGCAGCAAAGTTGACGAGCTCAGCAACTAGGGCAGACGCAGGAGTGGACTCAAAAGAAGGGTTAGTGACGACAGTAGCAAGGAGACGCGTGACAGTAGGAATGGCAGCACGAAGAGAGTCCGACTCCGGGTCGGCAAGAGCAGGAAGAGAAGACTCAGGAGGAGAAGGCAAAGGGGCACGCAGAGGAGAAGTGGACGAACGCAGAGACATCCGGTGCGTGCCAGGGACGGGAGGAGGACGCTGACATGAACAGCGACCACTAGTGCGAGCAGCACGGACAGGCGACGCAGGGCGAGACGCAGGCTCACGACGCTCAGCAAGACCTGCAGTAGGACCAGTGTAGGGAGACGGAGCAGGCAGTGGGGAGGCCGGCTATAACTGTAACTGCGACGGGACAAGCTGTGGACACTCTAAGGGAGGAGGAGGACCAGTAGAAGACGGGAGACCAAGAACCTTCTGAAGGAGCGGAACGAAGTACGGCCAAGGCCGCGCGGCGACTCCAGACACAGTAGGGACAGCACCAGCACCCCCAGTGGCAGCACCAGCACCAGTAGCAGCTCCAGCTCCAGTACCTCCAGCAGCACTAGTAGTACCCCCAGCAAGACCGCCTCCAGGACCGAAAGCAGGAGCCTCCGCGCCAACACCCGCAGCAGCTCCAGCTCCAGAAGTACCCGCAGGCCCAGCAGCCCCAGTACTCCCGGTACGAGCACCTCTGGGACCCGTGGCACCAGCTTCCTCAGCACCAATAGAACCTCCAGTACCCGCAGCACCTCCAGCTCCAGCAGCTCGCCTCCAGCGCCGGGCAAACCACTCACGCAGCTCCGGTGGAGAGAGTGGCCCTCGGCACGACGAAGCACCTGGAGAACCGCCAGGCACAGCACTAGCAGGCCCAGCTCCCTCAGGCTCCGCACCCCCAGGCTCAGTACCTCCACGCGTAGCACCCCCAGGCTCAGCACCCCCAGGCTCAGCACCCCCAAGCGTAGCACCCCCAGGCTCAGCACCCTCAGACTCAGCACCCCCAGTAGTAGCACCCTCAGGCTAAGCACCCCCAGGCGTAGCACCCACACGCTCAGCACCCCCAGAGTCAGCACCCCCAGGCTCAGCACCCTCTGCAGCACCAGAGTCACCAGTAACCTCGACAGGCTCGACTGCATCTACCTGGGACACACCTGAAGGGGCAGGACCCTGAGGGGGGAGGGGGTCTACCGGGGGGGGACCTGGCACAAGGAAGAGCGGTGGCGGGGGGGAGGGACGGAGTGTGGTAGGGGAAGAGGCGGTAGTAGGGGACCGACTCGTCAAACGTGACGTCCTGGGAGGACAGAACACGATGAGAGGTGGGGTGGTAGAACTGCCACCCAGGCGCGTCAGGGGGGGAAGCCAAGGAAGACGCAAGGAGCAGCACGAGGGGACAGCTTGTCCGCAGACAAGTCGCGGACAAACGCCCGAGATCCCCAGACACGGAACGCAGACGCATCGCCTACCTTCCCCGTCCACAGCAAAGCTGGGGAGGTCTCCGGCATGGAGACCCTGGGGTGAAGGTTGATCTGATGCGCCGCGTACCGAACCGCAAACGGCCACAGAAAATGGGGGGCAGCCGCATGCATCATGGACGTACGGGCGACGTCCATGACCATGCCAATGTGGCGCTCAGCAATCCCATTTTTCTGTGGAGAGTCCGGAAGCGTAAAGGTCTGGCGGATGCCTCGCGCACGACAGTAGGCTCGCAAAAGGTCAGAGGAGAACTCTCCGCCTCGGTCAGAGTGCAAACGCGTAAACGTGGCCAGGTGCCGGCCTGTGCGAGCGTCCGAGCAGTGAGTCACCCGCTGACTCGCAGGAGTAAACTGGTGAACCCCCGCATCCTCTAGGTCAGCACCACTCACCAAGTTTGTAGAGAACGAGGGGAGGGAAAGACCAGACAAGGTGCCAGAGGGGGCCGCCGGACACGGGAGGTCAGTGGAGAAGTGGGTAAGGACAGGACCCCTAGAGGGGTCTGCCAGGGAGACTGCAACCGGCCGACCAAGCGGCGTGAGTGTGGTGCGGTCTTGAAAGAAGGAGCGAGAAGCCCCTGAGTCAAGTGTGAAGGTGAGGGAGGCCGAAGTCGACGCGGTACCTGCGAGCGCAGACTCACCAGCACCTGAGGACGCAGACGCACTGGCACCTAGAGCAGCAGCCTCAGTGGCACCTAGAGCAGCAGCCTCACCAGCACCTAGAGCAGCAGTCTCAATGCCCGGGTCGGGCGGGAAACACCGGTAACAGTCACCCTCATCACTAATAGACACAGCATACATGGCAGAAAGGATAGCATCAAAATCAAGATCATAGATGGCAACTCCCGCCCTAGACAGCTCGCCCCAGCGAGGGATCTCTGTGGCCTCCGGGAACTGGTGACGCCACGCGTCCGTAAGGCGGCCAAAGCAGCGCAGAGTGGGGTGCGCACCCCCACACTGCTCACCCGCACGGTCGCCGGTGCGCAGGACGTAGGTGCACGGACCAAAGCCCCCACCTCGCTGGCGTGCAGTGTACCACTCACGGAGCTGCTTAGGGGACAAGGTCTCACGACCGCGCTGCTGCTGCTGGCGCGGACCACCACCGGAGCCACTCCTCTGGGTAGACCCGCGACCAGCTCCAACGCCACCCCCGCCGCCTCCGCCGCCTCCGCCGCCTCCGCTACTACCGCCGCCTCCACCGCCTCCTCCACCGCCACCACCTCCACCACCTCCGCTCCCACCGCCACCGCCTCCGCCGCCTCCGCCTCCACTGCCGCCACCGACACCTCCACCTCCACCTCCACTCCCACCGCCATCCCCACTCCCCCTGCCGCCTCCACCTCCACCTCCACCGCCCCCGCTCGCTCCTCCAGTGCCCCTGCCCCCCTTGCCCCTGCCAGAGCGGCGTCTCCCGCTAAGGGCAGACGCCGCACCGACCGACTCAAGACCAAGGAGGTCGGCCGCAGCAGCAGAGGCAACAGAGGGCAGAAGCGGGGAGGGGAAACACCCCTCAAAGATGGGGGTGCGCGGGTCACCATGAGAGGCCCCTACAGCGACTATGCTCTTCTCGGCCGCTAGAAGGGACTTCTCGAGGAGGTCAATAGTGAGAGTGGTGGGACAGACTGAGAGGAAGTGGTCCCTGACTACGCGAAGGGAGTCAGGGAGGCGAGTGACTATGTAGTAGAGAGTGATGTACATGGGGGGGGGGGGGTTCTTGTTGCAGAAGTCAGCAGAAAGCACAGCGCGGTAGCGAGTGTCACTAGTGCGGAGGTGCGTAATGAGGTCAGCGAGTGTGGGAAAGGCAGCAAGGTCAGGGAAGAGGTACGGTAGCATGAGAAGGCTTAGTGCAGCGGTTGCAGGGGAGGAGTAGCGTGCAACTACAGCGTCGTACAAGGTCTGAGCACTCTTGTACTGGCTAAAGTGCGCACGCTCAGAGGTAGGCAGGTGGCGACGCATAGCAAGACGTGCAGCAGCATGGCGCGTAGCCCACTGTGAGCGAACAGTGGCGTCAGCATCAGCAGCAGGGGCAGGAGAGGCACCAGAGGTGAGGTCAAAGAGGGAGAGACCGTCTGCCCTATCGCACTATAAGAACAGCTGCAGGTCATCTACCCAGACGTCAATGTCAATGGCTCGACCCTCGGCGTCAAAAGCTAGGACACTAGGGGTAGCCATGACAACAGTAGACTAGGAGCGCTGACTGTAGAGCAGGGGCAGTGCAGTGACAGAGGCGCTGCGCTCACAAGACAGGGCGGTTCGGGCAGCTCGGGCGGCTCGGCAGCAACTGCGGCTCGGCGGCACCCGCGGCTCGGCTCCTCAGCTGCTCAGGCGGCTCGGGCGGCTCGGGCGGCTCGGGCGGCTTGGGCGGCTCGGGCGGCTCGGGTGGCTCGGGCGGCTCGGGCGGCTCGGGCGGAACGGGCGGCTCGGGCTGCTGAGCGGCGCGGGCGGCTCGGCTGCGTAGGCGGTTCGGGCGGGGCCGTAGGTAGGGCGACGGGGCCGGGTTGAAGGTAGGGCGACGGGGCCGGTGCGCATGTAGGGCGACGGGGCCGGGACCGGGGCGCAGGTAGGGCAACGGGTTAGGGTCGAAGGTAGGGCGACGGGGCCGGGGCCAGGCCGTAGGTAGGGTGACGGGGCCGGGCCGTAGGTAGGGCGACGGGGCCGGGTCGAAGGTAGGGCGACGGGGCCGGGCCGTAGGCAGGGCGACGAGGCCGGGCCGTCTTTAGGGCAACGGGGCCGGGTCGACGGTAGGGCGACGGGGCCGGTGCGCAGGTAGGGCGACGGGGCCGGGGCCGAGGCGCGGGTAGGGCGACGGGGCTAGGGCCGGGGCCGCAGGTATGGCGACGGGGCCAGGGTCGCAAGGGGGGGGGGGCGACGGGGCCGGGGTCGCAGGTAGGGCGGCGGGGCCGAGGCGCAGGCAGGGCGACGGGGCCGGGGCGCAGGTAGGGCGACGGGGCCGGGGTCGTAGGTAGGGCGACGGGGTCGCTAGGGCGACGAATCAGGGGCCGCTAAGGCGGCGCGACTTGGCCGCTAGGGCGGCTCGACGAAGTCAGAGAAGGGAGCGCGACTCGGGCAGAGCGCGCTCCGGGCAGGAAAAAAAAAACTTTCGACTTGGTGGGCCCTAGGCACAGTTCCCACGAGGGAACCTGCTCGATACCATGTGAGAATTGAAACGAGAATGAATGCACTAAGGAATGGAATGTGGTACAAATATGCAACCCTAGAAATGTGTACCCCATATAGGCTACCCCACTACAGCCTACAGAACATTATGATTTGACAATATGGGGTACAACCCAATTAGGGTTAGTACTTGTACCCAACTCTTTCATAGTGCATTCATTCTCGTTCTAGTTTTCTCAGTGGCGCCACCCGCATGTCTGGTATGTGCGGGGGACTTTCAAGCAGCGGGACTGGGAGGTTCCAGTCCTGGTCGTCGTCGTCGTTGTAGTCGCGGCGCGGGTTGAACGGGTCGTTGTTGGTGAACGCGCCGATGGGGTGTGGTGTTGGTTCAAGTGAGGGTGCGTGAGCACGGCGACGACGTGACTCGCCTGTCATGGCCATGTTGCTTATGACGTTGCGCGTAGGGGTAGTTGATGGTTGCTGCTGCTGATGCTGAACGGTTGAGTTCTGATTGCGCCCGGGTGGGGGTTGATACCCTTGGGCTGGACGCACGTCGCCTCGTGCGTCTTGTCGGCCGGACCAGTTGCTTGGATTGGTCTGGCGAGGGCGAGATCGGAACTTACATCGATCCGCAAAATGCCCGAAGTTTCTGCAGATTTTGCAGTAGAGGCGCCGCGGTCGTCGCTCTTCGTTGTTGTCGGCGTAGAAGGCGAGCCGCTCGCGTTCTCGTCGTCGCGCTGGTCGCTGCTGATCCATATCGCGTTGTTCGACGAGAAGGGCGGCGCAAAGGGCGGCGCAAAGGGCGGCCTTCGAGATGACCCCCTGCTATCGGAGGAGCGCCTTGTAGGGCCGCCACTCTGGGCCAAGCCCTTGAAGCACAATATTCACGAAGATTTCCTCGGAAATCGAGCTTCCCAACTTCACGATTTGATCGCGAAGACTCCGACAGCGGTTGATGTAGCTGTTGACCTTCTCCCCTGACGTAATCTTAGTTTCCAGCAGTTGCTGGAGTAGTCGGCTCGAGGAGACGGAGTCCTTGGGCTGATACACGCCGTTCAGGTGGCGCCAAGCGTCGAGGGCTGGGGCATTCGATGTCTTGTATGAACGAATGTTCACCTGCTCCGCCGGCGACATGTTACGTAGAAGAATCCCGTACGCCATCAGGGACTCGTTATAATAGCGAGTCCTTGCGTCGTCGGTGTCCTCAGCAGGTCCCGAGTAGCTCCCGTCGAAATAATGATAAATCTGCGCGTTTTGCAGCAGTAGCTGCAGCTCGAAGCTCCAGGTGTAAAAGTTTGTGCCGTCAAAGCACACACTTGTCTTTATTTTTTATATGCTCAAAAACCTTGATTGCGCGGAGAGAATTGCTTCATCGCTGGGACAGGGAGTCTTGGGGGTTGAGCTGTTCGTATCTAGGGAGAAGCCTTGCGGGGCGGAGTTTTGGCCGTTTGGGGCCGGTTGAGTGGGTTGGGAAGAAGTTCCCGCATCGCCATTACGCAATGTCTGGAGCCCTTGCTTCAGGCTCGTGAGTTGCTGAAGCAGTTGTGCGAGGACGGCGGAGGGAATCGTCGTCGTTTCCTCGTTTGTCGCAGCCGGGTTGGTCTGCGCTTCAGCCGTCAGATTTGTCTGACCTCCAGATCCTCCGGCCATTCTTACACGTGATCGTGTGCCGGACGCCACTTTCCGAATGTTGCAGACTTCGGAGATGGCGGTGCGAAGGATTCTTGAGTCGCTCTCATACCATGCTGCGATCAGAAGTTGATCGTGGCCTAGGATCTACTCTGGAAGGTTCGCACACAGAGAAGTGGTGTTGGTGGGCCCTTGACCTCAATAGCAGAGTGAATGTAAATGCTTGAGATGATTAAGACATGCAAATACAACGATATAAATAAGGGTACAGGGGAATATGAATCGACCTAGCTAGCCATGTACTCTAAGGGGTACATTCCCTTATTCAAATACATCCCCAACTGTGCGGCGCGAACAGTTACGAAACTGTTCCCGCCGAAACCATCCTGCCTGCAGCTGCCTGATGCTGTCTGCTCCGACGGTTCAGATGCGTTCCAACCGTCTGACGCTTCGCGTTCATTCGCGATACTGCGTGCTTCTCTTTGCTGCGGTGAGGAGTGCACGGTAATATTCAAGTATTACTATGCGTAACATTTTTGAACGGCCATCCAATTCGTTATGTTTTTGCGAATTTTGAGATTGTCTCCACTCAATTGACGATTGTCGCGGACTCGTTACCTTTGCAAAAATGGCCGACGGATTGTTCCCGAGTTTATACGCCCTTATGGATTCCTCCAAACCGAACATCCGAAGGTCTTGAGATACAGCGGTGGTGCTTCAGCCCAGACCACACTGACCTGCGAGCAACGTGTTGAGTTTCTTGCGATGTGCTTTTGCACAAAAACGCTTTTCTTTGAACCACACGCTTTGACTCCGAGAATCGCTCGGACACGCACACGTGGGATGGTGCCTCCTAATTAAGCCTGCCTGAAACGCGCTATAGACGGCGAACCCATGATATAATGTGGCCTGAAACAGTTACAGATAGACAGCGGGGCAGACGACCGTCACGGGCGTACATGGCTCCGCCTCACAGCCTCCCCCTGCACTCCTCACGCGGCTTCTCCATCTTTGCAGCCTCCGGCCTCTCCGCTACGTTATCCGCCGCGTGCTGCGTGCTGCTTCTCGCCTCCGCCTCCTCCGCCGCCTCCGCCGCCAACCCCGCGTCGTTCCTACTACCGTCCGCCCGGTTCGCCCTTTCATCTTTTCACCAGCCGGAATCACGCGACGATGAGCCACCATCGTCAAATCACGGCTCGGCCGACTTCCCTAGTACCGCCTGGTCGCTGCTACACCCGTTTCTCGACCTTGACAATTCAGACGCTCTTGGCGGCGACTTGTCACGAGCAGAACAGTCGCACGCGACACGCTCCCCGTCGCATCGCCTGCTCGTCGCACAGCAGCAACCCAGCATCGCCGCCGCGGGCGTCGCGACGGTTGCTCGCGTCAACCCGCCTTCGCCGCCGCCTCCGCCGCCGCCGCCAGCGCCGCCGCTGCGCGAGGTGGAGCTCGACCCGTGCGCGCTGCAGGCGCTCCTTCCGCAGCTCTTTCCGCCCGCCCTCCTCGACCCCGCCTGCTTCAACCACCTCTCTCTGCACTCCGCGCAGCCCTCCCACCCGCTCGACTCCCCCCCGCACGCCAGCGCGTCCACTCCGTTGAGCGACAGCGACAGCGGCAGCGGCGGTGGCGGGGGGGACGAGCCTGAGACGGCGACGCGGGGCGATCTGCTGGACGTGGCGCGCAACAAGTGGCGCGCCAGCACCGTGTGGGCGCCGCTGGAGGCGGAGGGCAGCGCGGAAGGCGCGGGGGGAACGGGGGGAGCGGGGGTAGCGAGGGTAGCGGGGGTGATGGGAGGAACGGGGGTCCCGGGAGGAGCGGAGCCGGCGGCGGCGGCGGCGGCGGCGGCGGCGGCGGCGGCGTCGACTCTCACCCCCCCGAATGAAGTGATCACCGTGTGCCGCTCCGCTGGTAGAGCTCGCATGGTGACTGCCGGTGATGGGGGGTAATGAGCGGTGATGAGGTGTGATGTGAGGTGATGGGAGGTGTGGTGAGTGGGTGATGGGTTCAGATGGGTTGAGATGGGCGGAGAAGGTTCGGTTATGTTTGAGACTCCTTACCCTCGCACACATGGCATGGCAGAAGCTGTGGGGGGGAGCAAGTTGGTGTGGTGACAGCACAGGAAAGTGTGGAATGACAGCATGACACGTGGCATGGCCATCAATCCACCTCAACTGTACTCTTCCCTTTCTTCTGAACCTTCCCTCTCTTCCCATCTCTTCTCCCTACGCCCCAGTTTTCCCCCTCTCCGTTCCCGTTTTCCCCTTCCCCACTCCCGTCTTCCCCCTCCCCACTCCCGTTTGCCTGCATGGCCATCATCCTCCCCCCTCACTCCCCCTCTCTCCCTCATCGCCACCCCCAGCCAGCATGACCTTCACTGTTGACCGCAACTGTGCCCTTACCTCCCCCTCCCGTCTCTCGCTCTCTTCCTTCCTTCCGCCCTCCCCTCGCTCCCCTGCCTCGCCAGGCCCAGCCATCATCACCATCAGTCCAGACGTCATATGTGAACAGACGACTCCAGGTCCAGGCTTGCATGACCCCTCCCCACCCCCTCACCCCATCCCACTCCCTTTTTCCCCTCTCTCCCCCTTTCCCCTCTCTCCCCCTTTCTCCTCTCCCCCCTCCTCCCCGTCTCCGTCTGCCAGGCCCAGCCAGCATCACCATCAGTCCGGATCTCAGTGGGCAGACCTGGAGAGGCTGGGGCACGTCGTTGGCGTGGTGAGTGCGAGAGAGTGGTGAGTGCGAGAGAGCGGTGAGTGCGATATGATCATTCGTGGTTTTGCATGATGGCTGCAGGATAAACACTGTGTACGGCGTTGTGAGTGCATGACAATGTGAGTGCATGACAATGTGAGTGCATGACAATGTGGGTGCATGACAATGTGAGTGCATGACACTGTGAGTGCATGACAATGTGAGTGCATGACAATGTGAGCATGACACTGTGAGTGCATGACACTGTGAGTGCATGACACTGTGAGTGCATGACACTGTGAGTGCATGACACTGTGAGTGCATGACACTGTGAGTGCATGACACTGTGAGTGCATGACACTGTGAGTGCATGACACTGTGAGTGCATGACACTGTGAGTGCATGACAATGTGAGTGCATGACAATGTGGGTGCATGACACTGTGAGTGCATGACAATGTGAGTGCATGACAATGTGGGTGCATGACACTGTGAGTGCATGACACTGTGAGTGCATGACACTGTGAGTGCATGACACTGTGAGTGCATGACAATGTGAGTGCATGACAATGTGGGTGCATGACACTGTGAGTGCATGACAATGTGGGTGCATGACACTGTGAGTGCATGACAATGTGAGTGCATGACACTGTGAGTGCATGACACTGTGAGTGCATGACACTGTGAGTGCATGACACTGTGAGTGCATGACACTGTGAGTGCATGACAATGTGGCTGCACTGCACGCTATTGACACTGCGTCTTTGCTCTTCTCTCCCTGCCATTCCGTTTTCACCCTCTTCGCTTCTTCCTCTCTCTTGTCCGTTCGACCCCCACGGTCGAAGAACCTAGGCCACTTATTTCCCATCCATCTCAACCGCTCACCCTCTCCCACCCCACAAACTCGTGGCTTGCCTCTTGCCCTCCCAGCCTTGCCCCTTCCTACCACCCCCCTCGACCTGCTCTCCTCGCCCTCCCAGAGCCTCAAAATAAGCCCATCCCTCGACAACACCCTTTCCCCACCCCCCCCTCTTCCCCCACTCCTTCCTCTGCCCTCACACCAGGACAGCCAACTGCATCAGCAAGCTGCCTGCCGATCAGCTCACCACGCTCCTCTCACACCCCCCAGAGCCTCATACTGAGCCTCAGATTAAGCCCCCCCTGCCCTCTCCCTGCCTCCTCCCTGCCCTCTCCCTGCCCTCTCCCTGCCCTCTCCCTGCCTCCTCCCTGCCCTCTCCCTGCCCTTCCCCTGCCCTCCCTCTGCCCTCCCCCTGCCCTACCCCTGCCCCTCCCCATCCCCCAGGACTGCCAACTACATTGGCAAGCTACCGGACGACCAGCTGACCACGCTGCTGGACCTGCTCTTCTCACCGTCCACGGGAATCGGGTTCAACCTCGCTCGCTACCTGCTGGGCGCCAGCTTCAACGCCACCAACAGCCCGCAGCTCACCAAAGACACCTTTCACCAGGTCAACCTCCCCGGCTACAAGCCAACCGAGGCCGGCCCGTACGACTGGGCGGCGGACTGGCGGCAGCGGAAAGTGTTAAAAGGAGCGATGGAGCGCGGTGTAGATGAGGTAGAGGCGATTGCGTACTCTCCGCCCTGGTGGATGACCATCAGTGGGGACACCGCGGGGAATGTGGGCGGAGCGTCGAACCTCTCACCAGATAGGTACGGTGAGTTTGCCGAGTATCTAGCGACCATAGTGGACTATTTCCGGCGGGAGTGGAACGTGACGTTCAGCACGATGAATCCGGCGAATGAGCCGCTGGAAGGGTGGTGGCAGCAGGGGGGGAAGCACGAGGGGTGCACGTTTACCGCGGCTCAGCTGGAGCGGCTTTGCACGGCCGTGGCGCGCGCGCTGCAGCGGAAGAAGCTGCCGACGCAGGTTGCGGGGTTTGATAGCTTCGTCGGGTTCACGGTGCGGAACGCAAAGACATGGACCGGGCAGCTGCTATCCAGCCTGAAAAGGATCTCCGTGCATGGGTATGTCCCCCCGCCGCCCACCACAACGGATGCCAGGGAGTTTATAGAGCAGCTCTATGTGTGGTTGGCGCGGGTGGGGATGGGCGTGGGGAAGGAGGTGTGGGTGTCGGAGATCGGCCCGATGTGGGCGGGAGGGGAGGACACCGACGTGGGGTTGTTCATGATGCGATCGGCGATCCAAGCGATCAACATCATGGGTGCTTCGGCGTGGATTTACTGGCAGCCGATCACTCCGGACCTCCCTACAAACCCTAATTCGTTCCGGTGGGGGCTGCTTACGATAAAGCACAACGGTGTTTCGGACCCTACGGTCATTCCGCTGGAAATGACGTTTTCAAAAAAGTTTTACATGATGAAGCAGATGGCCCGGGCGTCGCCGCGAGGGAGCGTGCCGCTGAGAATAGACACGAGCGACGGGTGCCACCACTGCATTGCGTCGTTCTTCAACCCCGATAAGAACTTCATCTCTATCTATATAGTGAACCAGGATGGTGGGGACTACAGTATTTCATTCAAATTCGAGTTTTTTGGGCTGATGGACGGGGCAAGCCCGTGTGTGGTGGAGGTGCAACGGACGTCTGAAAGCGAGGATGCAGAGGTGGTTTCCACCGATAGTCTCACTGAAATGCCGCAGACTCTGCCTGTGACCGCATTAGGCAGAAGCATCACTACTATAATGATATCCAATGTTGTATGGTTGTAGAGCAAGCCTTCAGATTCGTTTTTGGGCTGTCTGATTAGTCAGACTTAGTACCGGTACACTATTATTGTCTGATCAATCAGAGTGCCGGTATGTACAAAAAAAAAGCTGAAAATTAATAGTCTGATACCATTCAGAGTTGGTACCAGTTAAAAGTCTGATAGTTCTGAGTTGGGTGTCTGTTGTTGACTAGTTGAACTCTTACGTTGCAAAACACGCATACATCCTATCATCCTACCACTAGACTAGCTCCATCACCACCTAAGCTATTCTAAATCTAGTATATCTAACCCATCCTAGTCACTGAAACCATCATCACATTCAGAGTCACAGGCGTCAGCAGTAGCATCTCCTAAATCACCAACTCGCACTGCCATCTCTTCATCTACTGGCCCCCTGGTGCTCTGGTGCTTTCCTGCTGGGATGGGAGCGTTGCTGTGGGGCTTGCACTTCATGTAGCTCTTCCAGATCGTGAGAATCTCCTCCCAGTAAGGCTCATAATCCATCAGGCTCTTGCACATCAGGTCCCCAAGCCGTGCGTCCTTCAACGAACCCCTCTGCCACGACTTGGTGATGTTCTGCCTGCTGAACCCCCGCTCGCACTCCACGGTGCTCAGCGGCAGAACAGCTACCGCCACCCACAAGAGCACGAGGTTGGGGTAGTTGTCCCGCCAGTCAGATGTTTTGAGCATGGCAGTGAGACCAGCGTGGAAGCTGCGCTCGTGCTTGTTGGAGCCCGCAAGCACCGAGGTGAACATGCGCAGCTCCTTCACCGCATGGCGCTTGTTGATGCCTGGTTGGGGCAGAAACAAGCAAGATGGCATATACACTGAAGGGTGTACCACATAAACACATGCAACAACATCACAGCTTTTAGTTAGCAAACATACACAACGGGTGCTATTAAGGCTTACTTGACAGGATCTCATCTCTCTGGTCGGCCTTGAACAGTGTGATTAGCGACTCCAGCCACTTGAGGCACCTCATGTTTCTCTCTCCCCGGTCCAGCGGCCACTCGTCAGGGGTGAAGAGCCTCGCCCCTGACATCACCTCCAGGTCGCCAAGCCAATGCGGGAGGTTGTGGACTGTAACCTCGACAAATTGCGTGCAGACATCTACGCAGACATCGTGGGTCCCTGGCGCATCGAAGTCCTCCAACTCGTCCTCATGAAGAATGAATTGGAAGCTTGATGGGAGGCCGTCACAATCGACACCCTCTACCGTCACCTCCCTCTTTCCTCTGGGCCCATGACGCATGAGGAAGGGAGAAAGCCACTCGCGAAGGCCGCCTCCGAAGTCGTCGCCGCAATCAACGTATTGGCTTTCAATGTGGAATGTTGTCCGCGAAATCTGCGCATGCACGCTAGGGTAGTCCAGCTGGAAAAGAACAAGTGAAAGTAGTTAGTGAAGGAAACATACAACTCACATCAAGTACGTAGAGTAGTAGTTATTAACAAATCAGAGCAATCACTCTGGTAAAACATCTCACCTCCTTGTGTTGGAACGCCCTGTTGAGGATGTTCTGTCAAAAACTATTGAGTAGGAATGAATGAACTAGTAGCAGGATGGGTACAAGTACTAACCTTAATTGAGTTGTACCCCATATGGGCTACCCCACTATAGCCTACACAACATGCAACATATAAGTTTGACACACCCCCATAGGCAAAGTGGGGGAGACAAGGGATCACAAGACCAGTCAAGCAAAGGCAAAGCAAGCTCGGGGTGGATCACGAAGTCACCACACACTCTGAGCACAAGCAAATGGCCACAAGGCCAGTTCACATGCAGAGTTATAAAATGAGAACAAGCAGTATAGTGATCAAAACCTAGCAAGTGTAAGCATACAGGTATAAGTATATAGATCACACTACAAGCAAAATCAAGAAGTAAGCAAGTGAGGCCAAGTAGGCACAAGGCCTAAAACAGTATAGAAACGTTGATGATCACAAGGCTGAAGTGCCTCGGTGAAGATATCAGCAGTGTTGGCCTGAGAGGCCATGTAAGCAAGACAAAGCTGACCACGCTACTGCAACTCTCGAGCAAGGAAGTAACGCAGAGTGATGTGCTTCGTCCTATGCTCCAGTCTATGCTCCTGACACAAGGCAATCATGGCCTTCTTGTCTACGTACAGAACTGGAGAACTAGGCCGCTCTCCCAAGTTGGTCAGGAGGTAGGTGAGCCAGCGTAACTCCTGTGCAGCCATGGCTCCTGCGTAGATCTCAGCCAAGAAACTGGAATTGAGAGCTGAAGACGAGCGGGTAGACCACCAAAGAAACAGAACCGGAGCCAAGGCTAAAAGTGTAACCCTGTGACGACCGCTGCGTAGCCCAGTCGTCAACCCAAGACGCGTCAGCGTGGCCTGTGAGAACAACTCGACTCCGTCCTCCAAGCACGAGCCCCATGCCCGACGTACTGCAGAAGTAGCGTAACACCCTCTTAGCGGCCTCCTAGTGCTCTCATCTGTGTCTCCCGGGCGCAACGTAGCGTGCCAGGATGCTGAAAGGGTAAGCAAGAGGTACATGAGGCAGCCTACAAGCTCTGGATACGGGCCACTCGTTTCCACAGACTCATCCAAAGGTGGACCTGAGAGCGAGTGACGGTAGGCAAAGGAGTGGACTGTGGCGAGGACCAAGTGAAGCCGAAGCGCTGAAGGACCTGCTGCACCATGTGTGACTGAGTTAGGGTGATGGTGCGCCGTGCTCTATCCCAAGTGATCTGCAAGCCAAGATAGTTGCGCAGTTCACCTTGGACTGTGCACGTGTGTCTCTTCTGTAGCTCGGACTTCACTAGAGTCAGTGCCTCAGTGTCAGCAGTGGCAAAGTCCAAGTCGTGGACATACACCAGGATGTAGAATGGCGGCAGCGAAGTGTTAGTGCGCAGAAACGGCGACGGGTCAGCAGTCAAAGGAGCGAACCCAAGAGCCACAAGTGTCTTCCTCAGTGTGTCGTTCCACTTACGAGGCGCTTGGCGGAGGCTGTAGACTGGCCGCCGTTGGCTCCAGTGGTTACATGCAAGAAACGACCCAGTGAAGCCAGGTGGGCGGCGCAGCCAGATCTCCTCGTGCATGCTGTCGTGTAAGAAAGCTGTGCTAAAGTCAAGAGAGTGAAGCTTGTAGTCACGCTGATCGGCAACGTACAGCAGCACCCCAAGAGTCGGTAACGACCTTGTTTTCTTGGACGAAGGTGATGGAGAGGATCAGATACTTCCCACTGCACTGATCCGTACTCTCGTCAATCGATATGCCGAGGAAGGGCAACGCCAGCATATGCTCGTGCTGTGTAGTTTGTAGCCATGTTGCAGTAGCTTGTGTTAACTCGCCGAAGCCGTATCTGCAGAGGAATAACAAATATTAGTAAAATGTAAACGAGTACATGTGTACAGTCCCGACATAAATTTAGTCTGTTGCACTTACATGGTGTAGTAGGTTCCGTATCCCTTCTTCAGAAAGCCTTTCACGCCCTTCTATGCCAGGTACCGGACAAGTTTTACCCTCATCCCCATTGACGCGTCGGACTTGCTCACGAACAACAGCGAGTCGAGAAGGACATTAACGCGCAGCTTCTCTTCATCAACAGTGGAGCGATGTTGGTCGATCAGCGGCTGCCTCGTCCCTTGCTCATGCAGTGCCGTAAATTTTGCCATCGCCAGCTTGTGCTTCTAGGTGGTGGCGTGCTTGCAAAACGACTGTGTCTGCACGTCGGTGGCGCCTTTTCCACGCCTCCCGCACTTGCCTGCATCGCCTGCATGTGCTACACAAACAGTACATTTGAACGCAGGCAACCCCGTGAAGGTTTTCGTAATCACAAGCCAAGGATATTGAGACGCCCATTGCGTCTTGAACTTGTCTACCGCATCCTCGTAGACATCTGCAATGTGTTGCTTTAGGTTGATGTTGAGCCAAGGACGCGGCCGTATTGAAGGCCCGGGTTCCATGTCATCGTCGGCAGTCGACGTGGAAGCCTTGGCAAAGCTCAAAGTTGCCTGCTTCAAGCGGATGGTGCGCGCCGTGGTCTGACTGGGATGGTGCGAGGCAGATGCCACTGTAGGTTCCGCAGCTGTCTCTTCAGTTCCTATCTCTTCGGTAGAGGCAGAGATAACCGGTGATGCAGGTTGCTTCTCGGTGATGGCCTTATCCGGAGTGGACCGTGCTGCCTTCTCGAGTGCGAGGGAGCTTAGCAAAAAATCAAGGCCAGCTAGAATAGGCCGGGCATCAGACTCGTCATTGGCCGTGGGGGGATCGGCCTGCACCGCCATAGCGGTGGGGTTCTAATAGAGCCTGCCGATCAGGAACTAGGGAGGAGGCTACGCTAGAATTACTGGCTACTGGGGCCAACGAGTTGAAGCACGGGGTGTGGATGAATGAAACTTTAGCTCAAAGAGGATGTCACTTTTGTCAAACTATATGTGCTGCTTGTTGTGTAGGCTGTAGTGGGTAGCCCATATGGGGTACAACCCAAATTAAGGTTTGCTACTTGTACCCATCCTGCTGCTAGTTCATATTCTGACATGGTTTCAGAGCAGGTCCAAGCCTAGGACCGATCTCTTAGGGCCCACCGAGTAGCGCTACCCGACCAGTCGCGCTAGTGTGATCACGTCGTACTGCCCTGCCCTGCACTGCCCTACCCTGCCCTGCCCTGCACTGCCCTACCCTGCCCTGCCCTGCCCTGCCCCGCGCTACCTGCTGCAGCGCGCACTGCTTTGCTCGCGCGCCGCCTGCTGCAGCGCGCCCTGCCCTGCCCGCACGTCGCGTCGCCGCGTCGCCCTGCCCGCGCCCGCGTGCCGCGCCGCCGCGTACCCTGCCCTGCCCGCGCTCCGCACTGCTGCGTGCCCTGCCCTGCCCGCGCGCCACGCTGCTGCGCGCCCTGCCCTGCCAACGCAACACACTGCCGCGCGCCTCTGCCCTGCCAGCATGCCGCGTGCCTCTGCCCTGCCCGCGCGCGCCCCTTTGCCTTGCCCGCACGCGCGCCTATGCCCTGCCCTCGCCGCGCGCCTCTGCTCTG